TTTTTTTTGGTGGTCTTAATTGACTTTGAAATGGGAGCCCCTTTTTTGCGGTTCGGATTTTTTTTTTTCAGTTGGTGGCAGGCAAGTAGGTAAGACGACAGGTGGGCCTAGCACGATCCCATGCATGGCTTTTTTTTTTTTGCCATCGCACTGGCCCGCCCATTCCGGACTAGCCCTGAACTCTCTTCTCTCCTTAGGATCCCCCCCCTCCGTCAGCAAGAAAGCTCCATCCCAGCCCATCCCAGCCCAGCCCACTTGTGCGGCGCGGGCGCTGTCTTTGCTGCTGCACGTCTCACCGAAATAGCACGGAGCAATATATTGCCCCCATTTATATTCCAGTCAGTCCCGATCCACGCATGCACACACTCTGCGTCTCTCGCACGTAACTTCGTTCTCCTATTCACCACCACCCCCCCCACCCCCTTTCTCCCCCGCAAAATCCGAGAAATGTTGCACAAAAGGAAACATGAAAGCTTCCCATTCGTCAATTCGCGACTGGGGAGCTGTCGGCAGAGTTCGTGAGACCTCAGAGTCACGGCTCGCAAGGTCGCCATGGGTGCATCCCCGTCCCCCTTGCTGACCGGCCTGTTGGTCAGAGTCTCTGTGCTGCACAAGAGCGGCACCCGGCATTTTCTTTTTCTTGTTTTAGGTAGATGCTGTAGGATGTTGGTCGGGGGTGGCTCTGGAGAAGAGGAGCTCATAGGGTTGGAATCAACGTGGGGGGGAGGGGGGACATACATGGCCAGCACACAATCTGACCAGCAAGCGTGTGCCAAGAATAGGTAGGTAGTCATCAAAGGATAACCTGGTAGAGGTATGCATCGAACGCAAGTGGCTATTTTTTTCTTCTTCTCTTCTCTCCTCACTACCTGCCTTGGCCCTCGTCTCGGTCCCCACCAGCGCCGTCACCCTCGCCCTCGTCATCCTCACCGTCGCTGCCGTCGTCGTCGTCGTCGTCGTCATCCCCATCTTCGTCGCGCGTCAGGTACGGCACGAAGCGAAAGTCAAGCCACTGCATGCCGCCGCCCTCGACCTCGACCATGAACTGGAAGCTCAGCACGCCCTGGCCGTCGCCGCGTAGGCTGACCTTGCTCGAGATGCGCATGGCCTCGCTCGCCGACTTGACCACGTCGAACTTGAAGCTCTGGCGCCAGCGCTCGCGCACCGAATGGGTCTCGAGCAGGTCGCGGCCGCGCGCAAAGTCGACGGCCGAGCTGCCGAGCGGGCCGTTGCCCGTCAGGCGCAGGTAGGGGTCGCGGCGCGAGGCGGCCACCGTCAGGCGCGTGGGCGAGTTGGGCGCCAGCTCGGCGAGCGCGTCGAGCAGCCAGCGGCTCTGCATGATGATCTTGAAGGACAGGTCGTCGCGGTCAAAGGGGATCTCGTCGGGAGCCTCGGGCAGGTACGTGACGATGTTGCAAGTGGTGCTGACGCCGGCCTCGTCCATGGCCACGCTGAAGGGTGCCCCCTCGTCCTGGTACGACAGGCAGCACGTGCCGGCCACGCCGAGGTTCTGGTGCATGAAGGCGTCGGGCCGGTAGTTGCGCAGGTTGCTGCGGTACGGGTCCGTGTCGGCCTTGGCCTGCCGCGCCGCCGCGTCGGCCGTGCCGAAGAGCTGCAGCGTCTCCATCAGCGCCGGCAGCGAGATCTGGAAGCTGGGAGGGAGCGGCGCCCTGGCCTCGTCGTCGTCGTCGTCGTCCTCTGGCGCCAGCAGGTTGAGGGCGTAGGTGCTGAAGAGGGCCTTGTTCAGCGATGCCACGCCCTGCATGACGCGTGCGTGCTCGGCCATGAACCTGATGCCCTCGCCCGTGATCTCGACGTGCACCTTGTTGGTGAAGCTGATGGTCCTGAGCAGCTGGTAGAGAGGCCTGGTGGAGCTTGTCACTGCCCTGAATACAGGCGCCGGCGGTGCCGTTCCCAGCGTGTTTGCGGTCATGGTGGGCAGGCTTGGAGCTGCGACGCTCAAGGCGTGCGTTGGCGTGTATCGTCTCTCTCTTTATGGATCAGTTTAGCTAACTTTCCCTTGATGGCTCAAGTGAGCGGCCAGTGTTGGATTTTGGAGATGAGCTCAGTTAATTGTCAGTTGAAGCAGTTGAGAGGAAGCAACTCCACCTGGAATTCACGCTGCCCCACATCTTCCTCTACCTGTTTCTCAGAGTTCAGTGGCATGTTGCTGCTGCGCCGCATCGTACAAGTCTATTCCCTTATCCTTTATTTTATATTATTTTGTGAACTCTTTTCTCAGATGCTCCTTGAACTCGCATAATGTCAAGAAATTGCTGTTGGAAAGCACCAGCTCTGGTTAGCCCGCTGCCCGAGAGGCTACAAGTCCACGTGCCGAGGAAACATACCATCCATCACCATCAAATCCATGGGTATCCATCCATCCTCAACATCTACTTCCTTTAAACGTAGACCCCAACCGCGCAAAACAGATAAACCAAACCGAAGCTGCGCGGTGCGTACGCGTGTTAGAACAAATCAGTTGGACGGGCAGCCAGCGAGGACACATCTTACCCCAGTGCCAGCGACGCAGGGACGCCCAAGAGGAAGATGTTGACGAAGGAGCGGTCTATCACAGGTTAACACAGACTGCATTGCGTATTGCTTGCAGAGCTCCAGCCGGGCACAGAGGGTCTTACTCATAGCAAACACGCCGGTCGAGGTGACGGCAAGGGCGAGCAGGAAGAAGGCGAGAAGGGACTGGTTTCCCTTGGAGATGGCTGGGACAAACAGGTCGTTGGCCGAGGCCTGCCAGGCCGACGTGAGTGATGGATCCATGAGAAACGAGGGGCGTCGACGGGGACGGGGTTGCAGGCTGGGTCTTAGGCTGTCGGTGGTTGTGTGCTTCTCTCGAACTCACTCGCAAATTGGGGACCAACCTCAACGAGCCAAGCAAGGACACGATAAGCAACCGTGGCTTCCCCTGCCAGCACCCGCCCAGCCGCCCCATCCGACCCACAGTACATATTCTCCCCAGAGCGCCCCCACATCTCCGCGTCGTCCCTTGGGCGCAATCACGTGCATCCGCATCGGCCGCCCAGAACACCCCCCTCCGTACCCTGTTGGCCCGGCCCAGCACATCGTACGCCGGCCGGAGCGCGCGGCTTCCACCGGAGCGCGCAGTTAGCAAGCACCGTTTATTTACCCGTCTCCTTTTATCCTGCAGGTCAATATGAAGGACGACGGTAAGCCCGCGCCATCTCCCTTCTCCATAGCTGCGACATGCGAGGCGCCGCGTCGCGTCGCATCCTTTGCGACGGGGCAGAACATGCTAACCAATGCCCCCATCGCGCACCACCTCGCGCAGGCCCCAACGGAAATGGGAAGCGCAAAGCCTCCGAGGAGCCCGACTCCCCGGCGACGTCCAAGCGCGCTAAGCACAGCCAGTCGACGGAGCCGCCCGAGACCGACCCACCGCCCTCTGCCCCGACCCCGACCCCGGCCCCTGCTGCCCCCGCGGCAACGGCGGCTGCTACTGCTACTGCCGCCGCCCCGGCGCGCATCCCCTTCCCCGAAAAGCCGGCGGTGATCGAGGAGCGCAACGGCGAGATCGAGTTCCGCGTGGTCAACAACGACAATGAGCGCGAGAGCCTCATCATCCTGACGGGCCTCAAGTGCATCTTCCAGAAGCAGCTACCAAAGATGCCAAAGGACTACATCGCCCGCCTCGTCTACGACCGCACCCACCTCTCCATCGCCATCGTCAAGAAGCCGCTCGAGGTGGTGGGCGGCATCACGTACCGGCCCTTCAAGGGGCGCCAGTTCGCCGAGATCGTCTTTTGCGCCATCTCGTCGGACCAGCAGGTCAAGGGCTACGGCGCCCACCTCATGTCGCACCTCAAGGACTACGTCAAGGCCACGTCGGACGTGATGCACTTTCTGACCTACGCCGACAACTACGCCATCGGCTACTTCAAAAAACAGGGCTTCACAAAGGAGATTACGCTGCCCCGCTCCGTCTGGATGGGCTACATCAAGGACTACGAGGGCGGCACCATCATGCAGTGCAGCATGCTGCCGCGCATCCGCTACCTCGAAATGGGCCGCATGCTTCTTAAGCAGAAGGAGTGCGTCCACGCAAAGATACGCGCCTACTCAAAGTCCCACATCGTCCATCAACCCCCGCGCCAGTGGCGCACCGCCGGCGCCGGCGCCGGCGTCACGCCCATCGACCCGCTCTCCATCGACGCCATCCGCGCGAGCGGCTGGTCGCCCGACATGGACGAGCTCGCGCGCCAGCCCCGCCACGGCCCAAACTACAACCAGCTCCTGCACCTGCTCAACGACCTGCAGAACCACCAGAGCGCCTGGCCCTTCCTCGTGCCCGTCAGCAAGGACGACGTGGCCGACTACTACGACGTCATCAAGGAGCCCATGGACCTGAGCACCATGGAGACCAAGCTCGAGGTGGACCAGTACCCGACCCCGGAGGACTTTATACGCGACGCCAAGCTCATCTTCAACAACTGCCGCAAGTACAACAACGAGAGCACCCCCTACGCAAAGTCGGCCAACAAGCTCGAGAAGTTCATGTGGCAGCAGATCAAGGCCATCCCCGAGTGGTCACACCTGGAGCCATGATATGTTCTTTTTTTTTTTTTTTTTTTTCAGTCTTTTTTTGTTTTTCAGTATTCCTTCCCTCCATCGGGGACTCCCTCTCGCACTGGTGTTTTTGGCGTCTGCATTGGAACATGGCTTATTTTATTTTTTTTGTCTTGTATCTACAGCGCACCAATAGAGTGTAAATAAATACCCACGTACGCACACGCACACACGCACGTCCAGGAAGTAGCGTCATCAGACATGGCCTTATCCACCACGTCCAGAGTTCCCTCTTATCATGTTTTATTGAGTTCCGGTCAGTCAAAAGTTTACCAGGGTCTCGTGGCCTACATACTTACTCACCCTCAACTTCTCCTTTATCACCACTTGAATATTTTGCATCTCATCTTCAGCTCTTCACTGTAGATACGAGAGAGGCAGGCACGCGGATATACGAGAGTCTGCATCCCTCCTGGGGAGTCGCAAACAAGGTTTCGGGCTAGATATGCATGTGTAGATCAGGCCGAGCTCGCACGAAGCCGCCTGGACGCGCAACAACAACAAC